CTCTGAAGGCTCCAACTCCTTTCTGTCCACTCTGACGGGTGAGTGGTGACGCGCTGCGCTCCACTGACTGATGTCTGAGCCCCACAAGGGGCCAGTCATGTAAGTTTGGAGTTTTTCTGCCTAGGGTTGCCAGATCAAATACAAGGTGTGCAGTTAAATTTAAATTTCAGATAAGCAAATAATTTTCTTAGTGTAAAATTAAAAGACAGGGAGGAGGAAGAAGGAGTAAACATTCCCTGAAGTGAGGGTTCACACTAAAGACACAGAGTTTAAGCCGGGCGGGGTAGCTCATGCCTATAATCCCAGCACTTTGGGAGGATCACTTGAAGTCAGGAGTTCAAGACCAGCCTGGCCAACATGGTGAAATCCCGTCTCTACAGAAAATACAAAAATTAGCCAGGCATGGTGGCGCATGCCTGTAATCCCAGCTACTTGGGAGGCTGAGGCAGGAGAATCACTTGAACCTGGAAGGTGGAGGTTGCAGTGAGCTGCGATCGTGCCACTGCACTCCAGCCTGGGCAATAGAGCGAGACTCCATCTCAAAAAAGAAGAAGAAGAAGGAGAAGGAGGAGAAGGAGGGGGAGGAGGAGGAGGAGGAGGAGGAGAGTTTAAACCTGAAATGACATGAAGACCTAGGTGACTGGCGAGAGAGAATCAGAGAAAGTTGTGTCACTACACCATGGAGTCTTGTGGTGATTGAAGTCCGTTCAGCACAGGTGCTCAGGACCTGCGGACTTGGGCAGAGGGCATTGTAAGCAGCTAGAGAACACGAGAGGGCCGAGACAGCTTATCTCTGTTTGACAAGGCCCGGCATTATGGTGAGGACTGAGCATTTTAATGAGTGTGGATCTAAGCCAGCTATTTAATTTTTAGGGCCCACTGTAAAATGAGAATGCAAGACCTCTAGATCAAATTTATTAGGAGGTGTGGTGGCACGTGCTGGTAGTCCCAGCTACTCGGGAGGCTGAGGTGGGAGGATCATTTAAGCCCAGGAATTTATGGTTGCAAAGAGCTACTGCACGCTACTGAACTCTAGCCTGGGTGATGGAATGAGATCCTGTCTCTTAGGAAAAAAAAAAAAAAAAAGTAGGCCAGGCGCGGTGGCTCATGCCTGTAATCCCAGCACTTTCGGAGGCCGAGGCAGGCGGATCACAAGGTCAGGGGATCGAGACTATCGTGGCTAACATGGTGAAACCCCGTCTCTACTAAAAATACTAGAAATTAACCAAGCGTGGTGGCGCACACCCGTAGTCCCAGCTACTTGGGAGGCTGAGGCAGGAGA